TTTTTTTTTTTTTTTTTTTTTTTTTTTTTTTTTTTTGCAGAGCCAGGGATTGAACTCAGGCCCTTGCACTTGCCAGGCAAGCATTTATTCTACTGAGCCATCTCCCAGGCCTCTAATTCCAGGATTTCTATTAGACTTCTTTTAAAATAATTTTTGTCTCTTCCTTGGTACTTGATTTAGATGTTACTCTCCTATTTTCTTTTAGGCCCTTGAGCATATTTAAGAAATTAGTCTCTTGGTAATTAAGTCCAACCTGGTTTGAGATCTGTCAATTTATCTTTTTTTTTTTTCCTTTTTCTTCTGTGAATGGGCCATACTATCTTGTTTAGGCTGTTTTGTAATTTTTTGTTGAAAAGTGGGCATTTTTAATACACTGTGGTAACTCTGGAAATAAGAACTCTGGTTCTCCACAGTCTGTGCTGTTGCTTGTTGAGAGCTGGAGACATCTGCTTATTTAGTGACTTTTCCAGACTATGCTTGCAAAAACTACTGCTTCTATCAGTGGTCATGGAAGTCACCATTTCATTATTCTAGCAATCAGAATAGTCACCTGAGTAAAAAAAGAAGACTTGATAGTGTCACAAGCTTAGCATTTTCTCTGGTCTTTTCCAAGCATGTGTCGGGCCCTAGTCAGATATATTACCCACTGGGCTCCTCCGTATATATAAGAGCCTGCAGGTCCTTTTCTGTTTCCATCTATCTTCCACCACTGCCTCATTCTACCACATATTTTTGGTCTGCCTGCTGCCTGTACCACCCATTATTCCCTTGTCTCAATTGGCTACAGATAACATATGTCTTTTCTTGCTTTTAAAAGACGACACCTGAGAAGCCACTTCAGCCTGAGAGAGTAACAAAGGAAGCAAAACAAAGATAAGCTCTGTGCCAGTCCTTCAGGGGACAAAACATAGTCAAAAAGCAATTTTTGAGAACCACATTTTTATGACATCATCCATATTATCCCACGTGGAAGTAGAACTCAAGACTGTCATTGCTATGGCTACTGTCAAGTTGGGAACAAATGAAAAGGTTACAGTATTTCCCTACCAAACATCAGCACTCACTTTGTTCATTAAGAGCTGGCCTGCTTGCTTGTAGAGTTTTTTATTATATTCCAGAGTTCTGATAAATGTGATTCTGACACTAGTTAGCTTAATGGTTGCTTCAATGCAGGGAATAAATATTAGAGGAGCCTATATTACCTCTCCTGTAACAACATTCCTCCTTTGTTCTTTTTCTGAATAATTTTTAAAACTATTACAACATCTGTACAATTGCCACAAAGTTATTAAGAGCTTAGACTACACAAAATCATAGAGAGGGGAAAAATTACCAAATACATTTTCCAGTAACCTTCACAAACCATTAGCCATGTAGAGAAGCAGATATATAATCTTACATACTGTAGGTTCATAGCATAAAATGTAGCCTGGGGGCTGGGGAGATGGCTCAGTGGAATAAGCGCTTCCCTGGCAAGCGCAAGGGTCTGAGTTCAATTCCCAGTTCCACCAAAAAAAAAAAAAAAAAAAATGTAGCCTGATGGCCTGATCTTTTTACTAAGTAACTTACCATAGTAAGTTACTATCCTTTCAGATAATTACATATAATTTTTCTTTCCTATTTGTAACGAGTTAAAGGGATTGTATTTTAGGTATATAGAATAATAACCTTATCAGTTTCTTATTCATAGAAACTTCTAATTTTTAATATTCTAACTTTTAATATTGTAACATAAACACTATATATTGTAAAGCTTTCATTTCATGTACTCATTTCATGTAATATCTCCTTAGAGTAAATTCTTACAGGTGGGATTACAAGACATATACACTTGATGTCTGGATATATATTATCAAACCATTCTTCAAAAAGATTGAATCAGGGTGTAGCTCAGTTGTAGAGCACATGTACCAAGTACAAGACCTCGGGCTCAATCACCAACCAGCACAAAAGAAAAAGAAAAGTAAAATCAATCCACGTTAACTGCACAAATAAGAAAACTTGTTTAATCTTTTCAATCTATTAGAGAAAATATTTTATTTGCTTTTCAAAATGTACTTATTAAATTGAATATATCTGTATTGATCATTTGTATTTATTTGTGAAGTATTCATGCTTCTCAGCTATTTTCCTGGACAGTTTCTCTTCTTGGTCTTTTTAAGATAGGGCCTCACTCTGCACAGATCAGGCTGGCTGGGCGCTCACTATGTAATCCAGGCTGGCGCACACTTGCAAGGATACTCCTGCCTCAGCCTTCTGAGTACTGGGATTACAGGTGTGCACCACTACACCCAGCTTGGACAGTTTCTTAATAGGGAACTTACTCTACCTTGAGAACATTACTTTAGAATAGTTCTCAAATATACAGAGTTCATTTTTAAGAACTCATGCTAAAGTTTTTTGTTTTTTTTAATTTTTGCTACGTAAGGGATGACAATAGTAGAACAGTTAACAGACCAGGTTTCTCAGAGACATTTATATATTCCAGATAAAATATAAAAACTATTTGAAGACTAGAGTTTTTTATAAAAACAAGTGGAAAACCACACTGGAAAAGTTTAGCATCCCCTCAAAATGTTAGTTACTACTTATCCCAACAATTTCACTCTTAATTATATATCCAAGAGAAATAAAAACATATGTCCACCCAAAAAAATTACACACATTCATGGCATCACTAGTTCTTAACCAAATATAAAATAGCCCAAATGTTTATCAATTGATGAATAGGTGTCTTAAATTACCTTTTTCATTGCGAAGACAAAATACCTGCCACCCAGGGCCGGGGAGATAGCTCCGTAGAGTAAGTCTCTGCCTGGTAAGCATGGGGTCCTGAGTTCAATCCCCGATACCACCAAAAAAACCCAAAAAAACTGACACTCAAAGTTAAAGGAGGAAAGATGTGCTGTTGCTCATAATGCGCAAAGGTTTCAGTTCAGAGCTGGCTGGCTCCAAGGCGGGGTGGCATGGCAGAGGAAAAACAGGCATGGTGGGCGGAAGGCAGCAAAAGCAGCAAAGCAGAAAACAGCAACTGGAGACAACAAGCAGTGACAACAGCAAAACCTTTTTCTATCCCTTATATTCTACCCAGGCTACCTGTCCTTATGACATTAATACTCATACCCAGGATGGAGAACTCTTAATCCTAGCACTGAACCTTGAATGGATTCTAGAATCAAACACACTCTAGATCCAGTCACCTGCAAAAGTCTCCACCTACGAGTGCCTGAGTCTTCAAGGGGACATCAAGATACAAGCTATAATAGAAAAAAAAAAAAGTATGCTATCTATGCTATGGAACTGTCTCAGTTACTCTTCTCTCATTGCTGGGACAAATACCCGACACTCAAAATGAAGGAAGGAAAGGTTTATGTAGCTCACAGTTACTGGAGGGTTCAGTCCATATTCAGCTGGGTCCAAGGCAGAGCAGCAGCACACAGCAGAAAGCAACCTTTCACGGTGCCAGCAAAGAGCAAAAGCACAAGGGAGGGGTAGGAGCAGCTA